TTGATCCCATTTATTCAAAAGCTCAAATCCGAGATCTTCAGAAGAAAGATCTAAAATGGAATCCTATAATTCAGAAGCTTGAAACTGATACAGCCCTAGATCCCAACCTGGAGAATCAATTTTTTTTAGATGAGGAAGGAGCTCTATATCATCGACAACCTGTTCTCATGGGAGAACCTTTAGAACAACTAGTTATACCATCGGTCTTAATTCCTTACATCTTACATACATATCATGACACTCCATTTGGAGGTCATTTAGGAGCACAGAAAATGCAACAAAAACTTCGACCATTATTTTTCTGGCAAACTATGAATAAAGATATAAAAACGTATTGTCAAGATTGTCAACGATGCGCCTTACACAAGAGGAAGGATAAACGTCAAGAAGCAGAACTTCAATTATTTCCACCTTTAACACATCTATTTGAACGAACTGCTATGGACATCGTAGGTCCTTTGCCTATCACAACAAACGGAAACAAGTATATATTAGTATTTGTCGATCATTTTAGTCGATACGCAGAAGCTATACCTTTACCTAATATCCATAGTAAAACCATCGCCAAAGCTTTTGTTACAAATATCGTCTTAAGACATTCAACGCCTACTCAACTCCTTACAGATCGAGCGCCGAATTTAATCTCTAAAATGTTTAAAGAAGTATGTGAATTACTCCATATAAAAAGACTCTTAACAACTGCATATCATCCTGCATGTAACGGAATAGTCGAACGATTTAACAAAACCCTTATTGACATCATATCGCATTATGTCGCCAAAGATCAACGAGACTGGGATGAATGGATCCCGTATGCACTCTTTGCTTACAACACAACCATTCATGCATCTACGAATGATAGCCCATTCTTTTTACTATACGGAAGAGACCCCATTTATCCGTTTGATTTGGTTACTCGTCCTACTCGGACTAGATATGATATCGATGATAATTTTGCTGCAGAATTACATCTCCGAATGGCTAATGCACACAAAATAGCACAGGAACACGCCGAACAAGCAGCTAAAGAACGTCAAACACATCACCGCCGTACTCATAAATTATCTACTTATCATGTGGGAGACCGTGTTTTCCTAAACGAAGTCGTTATTTCTCAAGGTCTAAAGAAAAAACTAGCACCGAGATGGTCAGGTCCTTTCCGAATAATAACAGAATTAAGTCCTGTCACATTTATTATCGAAAATATTCACACCAAGAAACAACTCCAAGTTCATGCTAATCGATTAAAACACTGTAGTGCACAATTAGAATTGGAAAGGGAAAAGCCTGAAACTACGACTGTCACGAAACCCCAATCTTTAATATCAGATAATCCAAATATGGTAGATCCATGGGATGAATTTATCTTAACCGAAATGTCCCAACAATCAGAAGACTTACCTGAAATAGAAGAGGAATCGGAAGGAGAGGAAGAACCAACAGAAGAGGAAAAACAAATAGAGGCCACTCCACAACAACTCACACGACCGGATGCAGAGGAAGAGCAACCGGAAACAACGCCTCCNTGTGTTTAATGTGTGGTTTAGTTATAATTTTTCGGTTTAAACTTAACTAAATCTTCATGTTCTGGTTTAAACTTGGTTACTTTTTGATCTTTTCGTTTAATTTTAATTTGATATCAATTTTTGGGTTTAATGTGTGGTTTAGTTATGATTTCTTGGTTTAAACTTAACTATATTTTTATCTTTTGGTTTAAACTTGGTTTCATTTCGATCTTTTCGATTAATCTTGGTTTGGTATCAATTTTTGTGTGTAATGTGTGGTTTAGTCATGATTTTTTTATTTATAAACTTAACTAAATTTTAACAAATGTTGAGATTATAATATTTGAAATGTCTCTAAAATAAAACAGTCTTTACTTATTTTTATTTTGTATTAAAATTCCTGTTTTCTGCAGGAAATCATTATTTAAATTGCTTTTTGTGTGATGGGTAGACAGTCTAAATGCAGTTTGTGAAATCTTTGGCCACTTTTTTGTAATTACTGGTGTTTACGATTAAGATAATTTCGATTCGTTTTCCGTTAAGACAGGGGCGAATCTAAGTTTGTCGGGGTTTAGGGCTTATTGAAGTCTACCAGAGTTTTATTTTTTTTAGATTAAGAAATCAACTGATCGCAATAAAACAAATAATAATATAAATTGTTGTTATTATTATTTACATTCGAATTTTTAATTTTCGCTGCTATATAAAGGGATTTATATAAAATCCTTTAGTATATAGATGTAATGAATATCGTAAGGTTTGAAAGAAATGAATGGAGAATTAACGAATTAAAAATTTTGAATAGCTGTTCCGATCAAATTTCAATATTTNATATGTCTGTGTTAATGTTTAATACAAGATGAAGTAAAGAATACGGCAATTATTTTCACTTATATAAACTTAATGATTCAACATGAACGAAAAAAAACAACATTTTTTTTTAACGTAATTCAGATAAAAGCACTGAATATCTGCACTGGGCAGAAGTACAGTTAGTGAATCCAAAACGTGGATGGATGAATTCCTCTGGTATTAAAACAACTGGTCAAGAAATACTGACAGCAACACCCGGAGTGGCTTTACTGAATGTAAAACGATTACGTTCTTCGACGGTGATGACGTGCATTTTTCTAATTAATAAATTAATTATATTTGTTTATAGGGAGATTCTGGTTCACCGTTGATAAAGTACGATAATTCGGGTCAACACGTTGTCATTGGCGTTCTGAGTGGAGGTTACGCCGTCGTTAACGATGCTTTTATTTACATGTCAACCAGTGTTCATCACGATTTCATAGCCAGCAACAGTCGTGGAACCCTCGTATATCATATTTTCAAAGGTTGAGATTGATAATTTAAAAATTGATTATTCTAAATATGTAAAGCAATTACAACTGCAATTACTTTTTACCTTAGCGGTAAAAATAATTACTATTAAAGTATCTATAATTGTTCGAAAGACTTTATGAATGGTATCCTTTTTTGTATTCTAAATGTTGAGAGGAAAACGTTTTGTTAATGTAATAAATTGAATTTCAGTCATGTAATTATTTCCTCATAAATAAATTGAAAATATGTATTTGTTTTACAAATCACATGTTTCTAATAGCGTGTCAGAATGGGTGATTATTTTCTCACCTACAATTATGTTTCGATTGTTAATAATGTTACCAAAATATGAACAAATTAGCATTAAGCGAGGCAAAATAAAGGAAATTTATTCATATTTTTCAATCTAGTAAATGTACGCATATAATATAAAGTTTCAATTTACACTTTCCTTTGGGGCACAGAATCAAGAGTACACACGGACTACAGAATTAACATTTGTGTTTATAATTGTAATATGTTATTGTGAGAATCGCAGGGGGTCAGAGGTTAATCCCTTCTGATCTCTTAATCTGCACAGGATACTAAAATCCGATCTCGAGGTCGTTGTATGACTAGGAGGGCGAATCGAGTGGGGAGTGCGTCGGTAAGTCGGCAAAGGTCCGTGGACAAACAAAAGACAGGCTTTAACATAACAAAACTATCGAAATTTCAATGCCGATACCCGTTATTGGATGGCAAGATAACGACGAAATGTAATTTCGGAAGAACATCTAAGACGATTTACGGAAGAATAATATACTTTTAACAAATTCGTACGAGGAAGCCGTTTTAGACAGACATAAATTTCGGGGCGACGCGACAATAAAACTCTGACAATTTGTTGCGAGCGGTCGATTATTGTTCTTGCGAACGGTTGAATTTTTGGTTCGTGCGATTTAAAGTCATTGATTTCGAGCGTTTTTTTTACTTTTTCGTTATTTGCAGTGATTTTATCGGTAAGTTGAGACTACGAACTTTATTAATTTCAGCATTTTTTAACATTGTTAAGCTCCGAATATCATAATGAGTGGCAATGATTTTCCGACAAAGCTCCATTTAGATAACAATTGATGGGTTTGGTAACAGAGACGACGAACGGTGTCTCCACTTATTTTCGAAGTTACTTTTCACCCTTTTAATTGTTAATTTTCGTTTAGATCTAGTAAATTCAATGGAAATTGTAAAAGAAAAACAAGAATTAATAAATACTTGAAATTGATATTTTCCGCTATGGTTTATATACACATTATATTCCGTACAAAATTCACACCTCTATACTCTATACTTTAATAAATGAAGATTTCTTTATTTTCAGAGATATTTTGTGTTCAGGCAATATGAAATGTTTATTATAATGAAAACGATCATTTTCTATAATCTTCTATTATAAATCTTTATTGAATTTTAANCCAGGAGACCGAACTCCTCCCTTAATGTAATCAGATCACTTCCTTCATCAATCTTCAGCGTGATCCAAATATCACACTTTATAATTTTTCCTTATTTTTACATTTTATATCAAATTATCATCTTTCTCATTTTTAATATTCTTTTCCTCATTATTAAATCATTTTCCTCATTATTAATATCAATTTTGCATTAACATAAAAATATATTGTTCCCCAACACCAATATAGCTATTTCCTCTCTCTTACAGACCATAATCAATACCATGGAGGCAGCATTAATTTCTCTTTTAAATTGTCCCATTTGCTATACTCGGGTGCGTCCACCCGTTTATCAGTGTACAAACGGACATATTGTATGCGCCGACTGTCGTCCCCGCATTACTAACTGTCACACCTGTCGAGAACCATTAGGACACATACGAAGCTTAATCGCAGAACAGATAGCAGGCACCATACAGGCCCCGTGCGAGTTTCAACCCTTTGGATGTCCGGAATTGTTACAAGAAGACAACCGGCGAACCCATGAAGAATCCTGCAACTTCCGACCTCTTTTATGCCCGTTCCGCTCAGCCAATTGTTTGTGGGAAGGTGCACATTCCTTTCTTCGTCAACACATCAACGCCTCACATCCACAAGTACCTACCATACAAAAGGACATCATCTTTTTCGGAGGAATTGATTTCCAAATTACAAGAGGCACTTGGGCTGCCATCTTGGAGTGTTACTCCCAGTCCTTCTTATTATTAATATCCTCCCAACTTCCCGACCATCCTATCTTTACTATCCATCTTTACTTTTTAGATAAGCCTTCCTCTCTTATTCAATTCAGATACAACATTAAATTTAAAAAAGGTGATCACATACTGCGCTGGGGCTCTATTGTTTCTGAAATATATGGAGAACATCCAAACCCCTCTTCTCACCCTGTTCCTTGGTTTGAAATATCTCTACCCTTTGTTCAATTCTTTGGCCTTCACCAAAATTTTAAATTCATTCTCAATATTTCCCCTTTATAGGATGGCCGAAGATCAGGAATGGCAGAGCTTTACCCCTTCACCTTCTCCACCTCTAACAACTACTACAACTACTCCCACCACTACAACCCGCGAAGTCAACGTTGATGCAGTACAAGCAGCTATCCGCTTCGCTCAAGCACAACCTCAAACCTTTCAAAGCGTTCCTATCACCCTCATCTTACCTATAAATTATAGCTGCCCTCCTCACTTAGAGCAAGCCTTACAAGCGGCCAATCTACCATCCTTAACCTGGACCAACATTCAACCACATGCTTCTCGTACTCCTGTACTTAGTCCTCCGACCGGTTCCAGACCTCCTCGNGAATAGCTGTTCCGATCAAATTTCAATATTTGAAACTTCGAATACCAGAGTAATTTTAAATTTAGAAAGTAATTTACAAGATATCACGCACAATTACTGTACGTACAGTACATACGCTAGCGTACATACGTACAGTACCTTCTGTACATTCTGTATAATGCGTTAAGGTTTTCAACCAACATTTAATTTAGTTTTGCAAATAAATTATTATGTAATGAGTATTTAATAAATACACGAAAATAACACTTGTCGGTATTAATCTATTTTTCTCAGGTTCCACCCGAATATTTTTGTACAACTTTAGAAATGTTTCTATTGCATATCGTGACTAATAAAATAATTTGTTTACACAATTCTCTGTTATTTGTTTTTNGGAGGCCTGATGGCGAAATGCATTTGGATCGTATTAATAAAATAATGATTGTTCCTTGCCATTGTCGTTTTTTGGCTCGTAGAATCCTCGAAGTAGGAAATAGAAAGAGTATAATTTTACTTGTTTTTAACTAAACATTTTTTATTTTTAGTCTGTTAATATTTATACCGATCCCATCGGTTTTTTATAATTTATATTAAAAGTAGTACTAATTTCAACAAGACGAAACGATCTTATTGCAGTTAAAGCAGGAGTGGCCAATTTTTTACAAGACGAGTTTACATGCGCAGTGGCGTACCGTGAGTGTTAGCCGCCCGGGGCGGAGAAAAATTTCGGCCATCCCTTATTTAGGTATTTCAATTTATAAGACGAAAATTTAGATTTGCCACAGAACAAGCAATGAAAAATGCGGTTGTAGTGTAGCTACCCGTATAAAATAGTTCTATATGACATCAGTGGTGTACATGAACACGAATGCATCGTGTAACGTACAAGCAAAAAAAAATAAAAAAAAAAGGTCAACAGGAGGTCGATTGCACCGAATTGTGTAAGAAATACACTTGCCAGGACACACTGTAAAAAATTAATTTCCTATGTAATATTCTTAATTGCAATGAAGCCAAATCTGGCAATGTTGCTCGGAACCGACTGAAGCGCCACTTGTAGTCGTCCAATGCGCCACGTTTTGGCCACACCTGAGTTAAAACATTTAACATGTTTTAAAATAATTGCAAGTAGCGTCTTGTGCCCTAAACTAAATTAATTGAATAATATATCCTGTCGGCAGTCGCACACGTTGAAATCAGCACCAGCAATGACGTTTTAAATCGTTAGTGTATATAGTTTTTCAGAGTATACTGTGTTTCTAGAGCGAAGCTGATTGTTTGTTTCTTTCGATGTCAATTAGTTAGATTTCTTGTTATATGTATATATATATTCGGTGCTGAATAATAAACTATTTAAATACAGTAATACCCCGAACTTACGCGATAGGTGAGACCAAGCGATAACCGCGTAAGTCGAATTTGCGTAAGTCGGGGTATATGTTCGCAATTTGTGTAAAATCCAAATCTGATGTATGTAAACTAATAAATGTTCTCGTTAACCTTATCTCGCCTTTTGATTCGTTCACGGTTACAAGAAATCACCACATAGAGTGTCTTAAGTATCCGTAGATATATCAAACATAGAAATAAATAATACAAAATAAATTGTAGCTATTGTGAGGATCCGAATTCGAATGTGGTTATATCATCTCAGCATAATATCACATCGTAGTCATACTTTCATTTCACGGTGTCATANTAATGAGTATTTAATAAATACACGAAAATAACACTTGTCGGTATTAATCTATTTTTCTCAGGTTCCACCCGAATATTTTTGTACAACTTTAGAAATGTTTCTATTGCATATCGTGACTAATAAAATAATTTGTTTACACAATTCTCTGTTATTTGTTTCTCACCGTGCAGTAGGCATTTCTAAAAAGAAATCTTTACTTCGTTTATTTCTTAACAATGAATAAAATTTTCATTTACACTTTTTTTTAAAATAAAACTTACCCACCTTGAAAATTAAGCTTTTTGTCGTTTTATATTAACTGAAACTATTAGATTTTGTTAAAAAAGTTTTTATAACAGGTACTGTTCAGTACGGGAAGCTAAAGGCTATAGAAAAGAAATGTTTGCTTGACATAATGTAATGTATTAACTGCGCGAAGTTATCAATTTGATTAGATGAAAGAAAAAGAGATAGGTCGAAGAATGAAAGAAGAAGAGATAGGCCGAAGGATGAAAGAAAAAGAGATAGGCCGAAGGATGAAAGAAAAAGAATAGCGACAGCAGCATCCGGTATTTCCAAGTCGTCTCCGTCACACGTACCGAGCGGGTCCGACGTTTTTTGGCTTCGGTGATAGGACGAGAACCGATATTTTTAGCTTAGTATGGCCGTTGTAGAAGACGAATCCCCTTCACAGTATCATCTATACATATTCGTACTTAATTCGCGCCTCAAATTTCGCTTTTTGTCCTTCTTCCCATTACATTCAATGCTAAATACACATTTAACCGGGTCTCAAAGCGCTCGATGTTACATTGAACGGGGATCGAAGAGAAAAAAGTTCATTAAAAATTGACAAAATGTCAGTCAACTTTACTAACTTAATGTATAATCTCCAGAAAATTTTCTATTCCCGAACACTGCTACCTAAATTATAATAGTTTTATATTTCTAAAGAAAATCATTCTGTACGATAAGAGTTTAAACGAGTAAACATATTATAAAAAGAAATTCTTCATCATCAGCGATTGAATCTCCAATAATATGGCGAGTATATCCCAAACACAATATTTTAACTGTAAAAGTCGGGGGTCGTCTTATACGCCGGAAAGTACGGTAATTTCAATGACGAATTACTAGATTTTACAGTATAGTTTTTTCTACATGATACTTAAAAATTAGCCGTGCTATAGAATATAAATGCATACATACCTTAAGTAAAACCGTGTTAAATAATAATATTAACGGTGTGTCAACATTTATATATGTGTGGTATGTAGTTTAATAACTAAGAAAATTAATACTTAAATAAAATTATTAAATTATTTATAATATATTTATAAAAAATTACCACAAATTCTTTGTGGATAAATATAAACGCAATAACACCACAAAATATAAAACTAAATAAATTATAATTAGCATATCAATGTTGAGTGATTCAAACCCGATATTTTTTCGTGAACGTTATANAATGTGGACCATAGAAACAAAAAGGTTGGACACCCCTGGTTTAGAATATATAATAATTTCATAATTTCAATTATCAAAAATATATAATGAAAATACACTTTTTACAGTATTATACAGTATTTAAAAAAAAAAAAACACTAGTAGTAACGTTCGGTTCCGACTATACCATACTCATGGAACTTATGGTCTTCGTGGCACTACTTAGTCATCGCGGTTGTTAATCTATATTAGTTGTATGGAGTTAATTACACTGTAGAAGACACGATTGGGTAAGCAATTATTCTTGATGCAATTACTAACGCATCTACATCTTATGCGAAAGTTGAGGGATTCAAACCCGATAGTATTTCGTGCACGTTATAAATAAATTTAAAGTAAATTATTTGAATTATTGAATTTAACACAAGTTGATGAAATAATCTGTCACTTTATTCTAAATTCATTTATTTAGTCATTAGCCCGAATGCAATCCGGTGACAGTTGGTCTATTCCATATATTACTGCCTTAATTCATTGATACAGTGGAAAGTGTTTCGAAGTTTTTGGTCAGTCATCAGCCCCGTGGCGAAAAGAACTTGTAAATAACATATATCCGGTTACAATCTATAAATTTCTTCCTTCAAATAGTCTTCCTTAGACTAGAATGTAGGCTCTACGTTTTTTTCTGTGTTAACTTCGTGTCTAGTTGTTTGTTTACAAGTTCTATTGTCAGCAATNCGTGCACGTTATAAATAAATTTAAAGTAAATTATTTAAATTATTGAATTTAACACAAGTTGATGAAATAATCTGTCACTTTATTCTAAATTCATTTATTTATTCATTAGCCCGAATGCAATGCGGTGACAGTTGGTCTATTCCATATATTACTGCCTTAATTCATTGATACAGGGGAAAGTGTTTCGAAGTTTTTGGTCAGTCATCAGTCCCGTGGCGAAAAGAACTTGTAAATAACATATATCCGGTTATAATCTGTAAATTACTTCCTTCAAATAATCTTCCTTAGGCTAGAATGTAGGCTCTACGCTTTCTTCTGTTTTAACTTCGTGTCTACTTGTTTGTTTACAAGTTCTATTGTCAGCTATCAACCTCTATCTTAAATACTAGACTAATAATTTTATTACCACCGGTGTATTAAGTCTAGTATTTATGTGAAATTCAATTCTTTACAATACCGATTTACTAATAGTGAAATGGGAATTTAATTTCAGAATTCCAAGATTCTTACCAAATAATTATGTGCCTTTATTATATAAAGTTTTATCTAGTAAAGAAAATGACGTTTAAATGTTTTAAATATTCGGAATATTTAATTAGCTATTATTCTGTTACTTAATGAGTTATGTAAATGAATATTCTACAATCCTTTTGTCGATTAATGTGGAAAAGAATGAGGTTGGGGACATAAAGGGTAGACGATAAAGGGTATTCAACGAGAGTCGTGTGACGAATGCCGTATTTACCGTGCGAGTGATCGAGTTAATATTTAACTTGTATTTATATGGATTATATTGTTTAAAAGTTTACAGTCAATACATATTTAAAATGAAATTAAACGCCGTGTTTATAATACACATACAAAGTACTAATAAACATGTTTTTGTGCTTGAAAAAATTCCTAGAATAATTTGCTATCTGCATCGTCGAAATTGTAAATGATATCTATTCACACTGTAAAAACGAAGGAAAGTAATCTCTAAAGATAATTTGTGCAAAAATTTATTTCGAAACATGCAATTTTTCTTCAGGTAATATTTTTTTTTATATTAAAAGTATTAACTTATCTATTGCAGAAATGTTGTCATTATATGCTAAAAATAATATATAANCATCGATTCCGCGAGGCACGTTCGAACATGTAAGCTAAACAATAGTGTGGG